GTGGAGTAATTAAGGACCTTGGGAATTTGGTATTAAGAATCTCTTTTTGTCCATATTTCCTCCAAGCATAAATGTCATCAATTCTTCTAGCTTCGACGGTCCAAGTATGTGCTCTCTTCCTGCAAATAATAAGTAAGAAAAATTTATTAGTTAATGGCTTAATCATTTCAGCTAATATGTTCTTGTAATACAAATCCCATGGTAAATAGTACATGTACGTTTTTGGAATCAGAACACACTAATTGAAACCATATATAATTCGGTCGCATTGATTGGTCCAATCCAATCAATCATATTCATACAATTCTCTATCACTACAGTGATCATATATATTAATATACATAAGCATATTATAAATTAAGAACAAATCCAATATCATGATAAGTCATTTCAATATGGGGGCACTACCACATTATATGATTAAATCCATAGACCAAAATAGTAAATCGAAATGAAAAAGTTATAAACAAACAAAAAATCCACATAAAAAGGAGATTAAATCATTGAACACGAATAAAAATATAAAACAAGAAATCTATATTTGAATTTAACTTACTTTCTAGTGTAGCATCCTCTTTTACCCTTAGCAACTCCAAGTCTCTTTCTGCTATCGCCGGAATCTCCACCGTTGCAACTCGCCGGAGCCGACGAATCATCGCCGCATGAAGCATTCCGTGAACCCTCGACGGCGATAGGGACAGAGACGTCGGCGACGGGATCAAAAGATTCAAGAACCGATATGGCTTTACGGAAAGATCCTAAGATCTTAGTGACGAGCTCATCAACTGGATCTGGCTCACCGGTAACTAAACCCGACCCGGACCCGGAAACCATACGGGTCTGGTTATGGTTATTAGAGTGTTGATAAGAGAGGAGAAGTTGAAGCTGCGTAGTGAATTCGTAGCCTTCGACGAGTGGGTCGAAAAGTTTTCTCTTTATGGATTTGGTATTGTTGTTACTATTTGAATCCATTTTTTTTTTTTTGGTTACAACAATATAAGGAGTATGTGGTTTTTTGTTTCTAGGTTTTTGTTGGTATGATGATTTGAGGAAGATAAAATGGTTGTAATATAAGATTTTTTTTTTCTCTGATCA